ATCAACAGCTCGGACGACAAGATCCTGCGCCAGGACATGCCCTCGGCACTGCACCGCGTGGAAGGTGCCTCGCAGCTGCTGGAGGAGGCGTCCGATATGCTCCGCTCCGATCCGTACTCGGGTCCGGCGCGCAAGAAGCTAATCGAGGGGAGCCGCGGCATCCTGCAGGGCACCTCCTCGCTGCTGCTCTGCTTCGACGAGAGCGAGGTGCGCAAGATCATCCAGGAGTGCAAGCGGGTGCTGGACTACCTGGCCGTCGCGGAGGTGATCAACACGATGGAGCAGTTGGTGCAGTTCCTACGCGACCTGTCGCCCTGCCTCAGCAAGGTGCACCGCGAGGTGAGTGCGCGCGAGAAGGAGCTGACCCACCAGGTGCACAGCGAGATCCTGGTGCGCTGCCTGGAGCAGGTGCAGACCCTGGCCCCCATCCTCATCTGCAGCATGAAGGTCTACATCCACATTGTGGAGCAGCAGGGACGCGGCGCCGAGGAGGCGGCCGAGAACCGCAACTACCTGGCGGCCCGGATGAGCGATGAGCTGCAGGAGATCATCCGCGTGCTGCAGCTGACCACCTACGACGAGGACACCAGCGAGCTGGACAACCTCACCGTGCTGAAGAAGCTCTCCAACGCCATCTCCAACAAGATGGAGCTGGCCAACGAGTGGCTCTCGAATCCCTACGCCCTGCGCGGCGGAGTGGGCGAGAAGGCGCTGCGCCAGGTGATCGACAACGCCGCCGAGATCTCGGAGCGCTGCCTGCCGCAGGACTCGTACCCCATCCGCAAGCTGGCCGACGAGGTGACGGCCATGGCCAACTCCCTGTGCGAGCTGCGGCAGGAGGGCAAGGGCCAGAGCCCGCAGGCGGAGTCCCTGGCCCGGGGCATCCGCGAGCGGCTGGGCGAGCTGCAGGCGCTGGTCCACCAGGCGGTGCTCGGCGTGGACAAGGCCGGGGTCCAGCAGACGGCCCACACCATCCAGGGTCGCCTGGAGCAGGCGGTGAAGTGGCTGCAGCATCCGGAGATCAACGACGGCGGCCTCGGCGAGCGGGCCATCAACCTGATCGTGGAGGAGGGCCGCAAGGTGGCCGAGGGCTGCCCAGGCCACCAGAAGGCCGAGATCCAGCAGCTGTGCGACGAGGTGGAGCGCCTCAAGCGCCAGGCGGCCGGATCCGGGCCGGCGGCCAAGCAGGCGGCCAAGCAGCTCACCCAGAAGCTGTACGAGCTAAAGGCGGCCATCCAGAATGCGCTGGTCAACCGCATCGTGCAGGACTTCATGGACGTGAGCACCCCGCTGAAGCAGTTCACCGAGGCAGTGCTCCAGCCGGAGGGCACTCCCGGGCGGGAGCAGAACTTCAACCAGAAGTCCAACAACCTGCAGGCCTTCAGCGACCGCGCCTCGAAGACCTCGCGGATGGTGGCCGCCGGCGGAGCCTGCGGCAACAAGAAGATCGCCGAGATCTTGCTCTCCTCCGCCGCCCAGGTGGACTCGCTCACCCCGCAGCTGATCAGCGCCGGCCGCATCCGGATGAACTACCCGGGCAGCAAGGCGGCCGACGAGCACCTGCAGAACCTCAAGCAGCAGTACGCGGACACGGTGCTGCGCATGCGCACCCTCTGCGACCAGGCCACCGACCCGGCCGACTTCATCAAGACCTCCGAGGAGCACATGCAGGTCTACGCCAAGCTCTGCGAGGACGCCATCCATGGCCGCCAGCCGCAGAAGATGGTGGACAACACCTCGAACATCGCCCGCCTGATCAACCGGGTCCTGCTGGTGGCCAAACAGGAGGCGGACAACTCGGAAGACCCCGTCTTCACCGAACGCCTGAATGCCGCCGCCAACCGACTGGAGCGCTCGCTGCCCGCCATGGTCGGCGATGCCAAGCTGGTGGCCACCAACATTGCCGATCCGGCGGCCGCCGCCGCCTGGAAGAACTCCTTCCAGCGGCTCCTCGGCGACGTGCGCGAGGTGCGGGACGCGATTGCGCCGCCGCAGCCCCCGCCGCTGCCCACTTCCCTGCCGCCTCCCATTCCGGAGCTGAGTGCCCTGCATCTGTCCAACCAGAACGGTGAGTCATTGTGCTTTTCGTGCTAAAAAGTTGGATAAGAAATGTTCTTAAATGAATGCGACTTAAAACACATTTTTAATTTGAAATCATGGGTCAACAATTTCCACAAAAAAAACAAAATCAGCAATTACTCATTAGCTTAAAGCTCCAAAAAAACAGATATATGTATTAATATGTATTTATCTGTTTTTACTTAATTTTTTTACATTTCATAAAATGGGCCTTTAAATTTTTTTAAGCCCCTTTTCCTTTTTTTTAAATTGCCGACAAGTTTATTTAAAATGCTGAAATATTCAACTGTTCAAAATATGCTTACAAAAGTAAGGCGAATTAAAATCGGTAGAGATTCAGTTGAGTTGTGATCAGAAAAGGGTGAAAAAAATGCAAATCCAGTTGCTGTGTTTTTTTTATTTATTCATTTACTAATTGAGTAAATTTTACATTTTTCATTTCCCAGCGGAGCGTGCGCCACCACGTCCACCACTGCCCAGGGAGGGATTGGCGCCAGTGCGTCCGCCGCCGCCGGAGACTGATGACGAGGACGAGGGCGTCTTCCGCACGATGCCGCACGCCAATCAGCCGATCCTGGTGAGCTCGACCAAGGTGCGGAGGTGGTGAACGGTTACTCAACCCCCCTTTTGCTTGCAGATCGCCGCCCGTGGCCTGCACCAGGAGGTGCGCCAGTGGTCGTCCAAGGACAACGAGATCATCGCGGCCGCCAAGCGCATGGCCATCCTGATGGCCCGCCTCAGCGAGCTGGTGCTCTCCGACTCGCGGGGCAGCAAGCGGGAGCTGATCGCCACCGCCAAGAAGATCGCCGAGGCCTCCGAGGACGTGACCCGGCTGGCCAAGGAGCTGGCCCGCCAGTGCACCGATCGCCGCATCCGCACCAACCTGCTGCAGGTGTGCGAACGCATCCCCACCATCGGCACCCAGCTGAAGATCCTGTCCACCGTGAAGGCCACCATGCTGGGCGCCCAGGGATCCGACGAGGATCGCGAGGCCACCGAGATGCTGGTGGGCAATGCCCAGAACCTCATGCAGAGCGTAAGTTATACGTCCTTGGACCGCAATAAAGTTGTACGCACAAGAGGATATCGTTGATTCAATATCACTGGTCAAATTATATTTTGAATAATATAGTTTTTTATATTATTTAAAATATCATTTGGATCTTTGTCATTTCCTTGTGATATAAAAGTCATAAATTGTGTATTTATATTTACCAAATTGATTTGAAGATTAATATTATACAAATACCCAATGGATATTTTACAATATTAACTTGCTAACTTTGTCAAATTGACCATAAATTAATAACAATATTTTGTGTGTGCAGTGTTATTAAGAAAAGACTAATTTCGGAATCTAACTCCCCTACTTTTCATCCGATTTTGAAGGTGAAGGAGACAGTGCGCGCCGCCGAGGGAGCCAGTATCAAGATCCGATCGGACCAGACCAGCAATCGGCTGCAGTGGGTGCGCCGGCAGCCCTGGTACCAGTACTAGATGATATAGTAGTGCTGGGGGGCGGGGGCACAACCACCTGCTCCGCCCACCTGGTTGAATGCCACCTGCCACGTGCCTTGTGTAACATACAAAGCTAAACACTAATCTTAATGATTTCTATTTTAAATGTTAATCCCCTAATATGTTCCATCTAAAATTCAGTTATGTAAGTGCCCGCAACTATATTTATTATGTGCTCCAGAAACTTGTGCTCATGTCCCGCCCTTTGCTGTTACCTTTTCCCTTTTCCATTTTACTTACCCCTCGCCCCGATCCTATTTTAATTTCGTTTCGATAATTGTAAAATTAATTATTAAGCGTGCAATAAAAAGAAAAGCGAAAAACCATGAAAAAAAGAAAGAAACGGAAAGCAATATGTACATACAAGCAGTCAGATTTAAGCGAATGCAATGTATATAATAAGTGACCATATGCAGTGGGTTTACCCTTCGAGCTTTAATTTTAAATCGCCTCCCCTTCCTCGTACTTATAGTGTACTAACAGAAGCATTTATCGAATTCCTCGTTCAACTTTGAAGTCCAGTTTATGTTCGAAATCTAACTCACTAAAACTGCGAATACACCTGCTGTCGGATGTGTAAAGCCCAAACATGTAACCCAAATACGATGTGTGTCATGTTCAATATATACTTGAAATAAAACTGAATATCGAATGTTAATTGATGGATTGGTGGCTTAAGTAGGATGGCTTAACTATACCTGGGTAGTTTTCATTTATTTTGTTTATGTGTGCGTATACGTAATGCGGGTTGGTAGAGTGCGCATAAAAGTATGCTACACTTTTGGTTCTTTTCCAATATTACGCTTATCCATTACGTATACGATAGGTGGGCCTTAAGTGTAGCCTGCTTCTGGGCGCACTTTTCTCAGGCGGACTACGCATACGTAATTGCCATATATGTACATTAAGTATACGCAAAGTTGCCTATTAGAAATTGCATATAAAATTAAATTTAAAAAATAAAATAAAAAAATAAAATTTACTTTGGAACATGAAGTCAATTTGAATAATTAACGTTACAATTTATTAAGTAAAATCGGAGTTATTTTTAAATTTACCAAATTGATCATAACAAGTGATTGAACTCATTGAGAGTTATGATAAAATACGTAAATTGGTAGGTAAGGTAAATTAGAAAATTTCGCATGGTATTAAGATCTAACCGTTTTTGTTTTCCAGGTGGCACCCTTGGCCGTCAGTGGGTTAACCACAGCGCCAATTAAAGGCTTGTGTTTATGCATATCTCGACGGCCCCATATCCGCCAGCTGTGCCTGTCCAGCGAGCAGTCGGGAAATCCGAGAGCCACACCAGACTATAATTAGCAGTCACTCCGAGAAAGGCGAGGAAACTCGCACGATCGGAGAGTTTCCGCTGCGGCGGCGGTCAGTTGCGTTTCGGTAATCGGCGGAATCGAGAGAGAGAGTTGCCCTTACAGCAGTCGCTATGTCCCAGTGTCCGCCTGTTCCGGAGGAGGAGCCGCGTTCCTCGCGGCAGATGACCATCAGTGCCTCCACGCAGGAGTTGGCCGAGCTGATAGACCAGCACCTGGGCGAGCTGCGACCCAAGGAGCCCTCCTGGCGGGTGGCCGACTCCCCCATTTCCGGCAGGGGCATTTTCGCGACCCGGGAAATAGCCCCCGGCGAGGAGCTCTTCCGCGAGCACACCCTGCTGGTGGGTCCGACGGCCCATCGGTCCACGAACCTGCGCACCTGCACCCTCTGCTACCGCCTCATTCCGGGCTCCACGGACCCGGAGGCCCTCTGTCCGGCGGGCTGTGGCCTGCCGGTCTGCCCCGACTGCCGGCAATCCCCGCGCCACGAGCTCGAGTGCAAGCTCTTCCGCAAGTGGCGACCCTTGGAGAGCCAGAGGATCGAACCGCGCGCCTTGAGGATTCTCAGCGTGGTGCGGTGCTTCTTCCTGGACGAGGCCGGCAGGAAGCTGCTGTATGCCATGCAGGCCAACATGGATCGGTACTACATGCAGGAGGTGCAGCGGGCCGCCGACTGCTTCGAGCACTTCCCGCGGGAGCAGGACATGCTGGACTACTTCTACCGCACCATCTGCGCCTTCAACACGAACGCCTTCGAGAGCCGCAGCAGCGTGGATGGGCACGAGGTGCTGGTGCGGGCCCTCTTCCCGCTGGCCGGCATCCTGAACCACCAGTGCACCCCGAATGCGGCGCACCACTTCGAGAACGGGGAGACCATCGTGGTGTGCGCCACCGAACGGATTCCGGCTGGCGCCGAGGTCACCATGTCCTACGCCAAGCTCCTCTGGTCCACGCTGGCCAGGAAGATCTTCCTCGGGATGACCAAGCACTTCATCTGCAAGTGCGTTCGCTGCCAGGATCCCACGGTGAGTTGGCTCACTTTCTGATTTGCCTGATTATATCTGATTCGGATGGGAAACTGCATCCCAAATGGGAGCGTGAGTGTCGCAATCGCTGAGAAGTGCCTCAAAATAGCTCAATCGCTTGGGCCGTAAAAATGTCATCACAGGGGCGCACGCATGGGGGTTTATTGTGGCCCAGTAAGTGGAGTTTTTCAGCAGCAACAAATGATCTGGGAAATTACAGAAATAGGTAATGCTGCTGAAAAGAAACCCCCTGGAATTAATGGCTGCCAATTAGTCAAGATTGAGACACGGCAGCTGGCCGAATGTGTGAGCAGTTTATTGCCTGAAGAAATCAAGAGGGATCGCCAGATGATCCTCAAACAGGCCTGCTGTGAGTAGTATCTTTTGTAAAGTTGCCCACAAACTCCTTTTTTTCTCAAGAAAAGCTCACAGAAGAGTAATCGGGATAATTAGTTCCTGGAGTAAACTCAAATGAATGCATGTCACTACACACAGTTTATTTATAACGAAACATTTTAAAAGGTTGCCAGTTTCCCAAATTGCAACAACCATCTGAACATTCTGGCCATAATAAAGAAGCCTTTAAATTTTATAGCAGATCAAATATATTTCAAGTAGTATGCTCCAGCTATTTTAAGTGCATGTGAGCACAACACCACATTCCATTACCCATTTATTCGAATTCGGGCGCTGTCAAAGATCGCATATCACGTCAAAACAGCCTTCTACCACATTCCCCTTCCTTTCAATGCCCCTTTGACCCAGCCGCACGTCAATCCAAATCCAAATCCCCATTTTATTTTTTCCTCTTTGCATTCCCTCGCTTTGTGCGCCTTTAAATATAAAATTTGCACACAAATTCTATAGAACTAAAACGGAAGACCCAGAAAACGGCCGACAATGAAAAACAATTTCAAATTTGTCGAGTATTTCGGTGCACATCTCTCGCCTATCCATTTATAAGCTCTGATCGGCCAAATAGAATAGATTTTGTAAACAGTCGTTCTTTTGGCTGTGCGTCTTATTTTTGCAAACTAGTCCCGCAGTTTTAAAGCTATTTGATTAACACTTTGCAAAAAGACTCCTTTTTGTTGCAGGTATAACTTAAAACAATGCGGTCAATAAGGGAAATAAAATAAAATACTGTTCTAGCTTTATAAAAATTGGCTGCCATAACAATGATCGAAAAATATTTAAAAATCTGTATTTTAATCTTGGTTTGTAACAAGATTGTTTTAACAATCATTGCACAAAAGTGACCTAAAACCTGCACTTCTTAGCCCATAACTTTTGTTACGGACATTCGATTTCAAAGTGGCATACTTTAAAATGTTTGTGGTTTCATTCTCTAAAAAACTGTGTTTCCAGTTTTTTTTTTGTTTTTGGGTCGAATTTTCATCATTTTAAGCAATGTAACCCCTTTCCAAATTTTCGAAAAATGGGCTTGCAGAAAAGTGACCTAAAACATGCACTTCTTAGCCCATAACTTTTGTTACGGACATTCGATTTCAAAGTGGCATTCTTTAAAATGCTTGTGGTTTATTTCTCTAAAAAACTGTGTTCCCAGTTTTTTATTTTGTTTTTGGGTCGAATTTTCATCATTTTAAGCAATGTAACCCCTTTCCAAATTTTCGAAAAATGGGCTTGCAGAAAAGTGACCTAAAACATGCACTTCTTAGCCCATAACTTTTGTTACGGACATTCGATTTCAAAGTGGCATACTTTAAAATGATTGTGGTTTCATTCTCTAAAGAACAGTGTTTCCAGTTTTTTTTTTGTTTTTGGGTCGAATTTTCATCGTTTTAAGCAATGTAACCCCTTTCCAAATTTTCGAAAAATGGGCTTGCAGAAAAGTGACCTAAAACATGCACTTCTTAGCCCATAACTTTTGTTACGGACATTCGATTTCAAAGTGGCATACTTTAAAATGATTGTGGTTTCATTCTCTAAAAAACTGTGTTTCCAGTTTTTTTGTTTTTGGGTCGAATTTTCATCATTTTAAGCAATGTAACCCCTTTCCAAATTTTCGAAAAATGAGCTTGCAGAAAAGTGACCTAAAACCTGCACTTCTTAGCCCATAACTTTTGTTACGGACATTCGATTTCAAAGTGGCATACTTTAAAATGATTGTGGTTTCATTCTCTAAAAAACTGTGTTTCCAGTTTTTTTTGTTTTTGGGTCGAATTTTCATCATTTTAAGCAATGTAACCCCTTTCCAAATTTTCGAAAAATGGGCTTGCAGAAAAGTGACCTAAAACATGCACTTCTTAGCCCATAACTTTTGTTACGGACATTCGATTTCAAAGTGGCATACTTTAAAATGATTGTGGTTTAATTCTCTAAAAACTGTGTTTCCAGTTTTTTTGTTTTTTGGGTCGAATTTTCATCATTTTAAGCAATGTAACCCCTTTCCAAATTTTCGAAAAATGAGCTTGCAGAAAAGTGACCTAAAACCTGCACTTCTTAGCCCATAACTTTTGTTACGGACATTCGATTTCAAAGTGGCATACTTTAAAATGATTGTGGTTTCATTCTCTAAAAAACTGTGTTTCCAGTTTTTTTTGTTTTTGGGTCGAATTTTCATCATTTTAAGCAATGTAACCCCTTTCCAAATTTTCGAAAAATGGGCTTGCAGAAAAGTGACCTAAAACATGCACTTCTTAGCCCATAACCTTTGTTACGGACGTTCGATTTCAAAGTCGCATACTTTAAAATGCTTGTGGTTTCATTCTCTAAAAAACTGTGTTTCCAGTTTTTTTTTTGTTTTTGGGTCGAATTTTCATCATTTTAAGCAATGACCTAAAACATGCACTTCTTAGCCCATAACTTTTGTTACGGACATTCGATTTCAAAGTGGCATACTTTAAAATGATTGTGGTTTCATTCTCTAAAAAACTGTGTTTCCAGTTTTTTTTTTGTTTTTGGGTCGAATTTTCATCATTTTAAGCAATGTAACCCCTTTCCAAATTTTCGAAAAATGGGCTTGCAGAAAAGTGACCTAAAACCAGCACTTTTTAGCCCATAACTTTTGTTACGGACATTCGATTTCAAAGTGGCATACTTTAAAATGATTGTGGTTTCATTCTCTAAAGAACAGTGTTTCCAGTTTTTTTTTTGTTTTTGGGTCGAATTTTCATCGTTTTAAGCAATGTAACCCCTTTCCAAATTTTCGAAAAATGGGCTTGCAGAAAAGTGACCTAAAACCAGCACTTTTTAGCCCATAACTTTTGTTACGGACATTCGATTTCAAAGTGGCATACTTTAAAATGATTGTGGTTTCATTCTCTAAAGAACAGTGTTTCCAGTTTTTTTTTTGTTTTTGGGTCGAATTTTCATCGTTTTAAGCAATGTAACCCCTTTCCAAATTTTCGAAAAATGGGCTTGCAGAAAAGTGACCTAAAACATGCACTTCTTAGCCCATAACTTTTGTTACGGACATTCGATTTCAAAGTGGCATACTTTAAAATGATTGTGGTTTCATTCTCTAAAAAACTGTGTTTCCAGTTTTTTTGTTTTGTTTTTGGGTTCGAATTTTCATCATTTTAAGCAATGTAACCCCTTTCCAAATTTTCGAAAAATGGGCTTGCAGAAAAGTGACCTAAAACCTGCACTTCTTAGCCCATAACTTTTGTTACGGACATCCGATTTCAAAGTGGCATACTTTAAAATGATTGTGGTTTCATTCTCTAAAAACTGTGTTTCCAGTTTTTTTTGTTTTTGGGTCGAATTTTCATCATTTTAAGCAATGTAACCCCTTTCCAAATTTTCGAAAAATGGGCTTGCAGAAAAGTGACCTAAAACCTGCACTTCTTAGCCCATAACTTTTGTTACGGACATTCGATTTCAAAGTGGCATACTTTAAAATGATTGTGGTTTCATTCTCTAAAAAACTGTGTTTCCAGTTTTTTTTGTTTTTGGGTCGAATTTTCATCATTTTAAGCAATGTAACCCCTCTCCAAATTTTCGAAAAATGAGCTTGCAGAAAAGTGACCTAAAACCTGCACTTCTTAGCCCATAACTTTTGTTACGGACATTCGATTTCAAAGTGGCATACTTTAAAATGATTGTGGTTTCATTCTCTAAAAAACTGTGTTTCCAGTTTTTTTGTTTTTGGGTCGAATTTTCATCATTTTAAGCAATGTAACCCCTTTCCAAATTTTCGAAAAATGGGCTTGCAGAAAAGTGACCTAAAACATGCACTTCTTAGCTCATAACTTTTGTTACGGACATTCGATTTCAAAGTGGCATACTTTAAAATGATTGTGGTTTCATTCTCTAAAAAACTGTGTTTCCAGTTTTTTTTTTGTTTTTGGGTCGAATTTTCATCATTTTAAGCAATGTAACCCCTTTCCAAATTTTCGAAAAATGGGCTTGCAGAAAAGTGACCTAAAACATGCACTTCTTAGCCCATAACTTTTGTTACGGACATTCGATTTCAAAGTGGCATACTTTAAAATGCTTGTGGTTTCATTCTCTAAAAAACTGTGTTTCCAGTTTTTTTGTTTTGTTTTTGGGTTCGAATTTTCATCATTTTAAGCAATGTAACCCCTTTCCAAATTTTCGAAAAATGGGCTTGCAGAAAAGTGACCTAAAACCTGCACTTCTTAGCCCATAACTTTTGTTACGGACATCCGATTTCAAAGTGGCATACTTTAAAATGATTGTGGTTTCATTCTCTAAAAAACTGTGTTTCCAGTTTTTTTTGTTTTTGGGTCGAATTTTCATCATTTTAAGCAATGTAACCCCTTTCCAAATTTTCGAAAAATGGGCTTGCAGAAAAGTGACCTAAAACCTGCACTTCTTAGCCCATAACTTTTGTTACGGACATTCGATTTCAAAGTGGCATACTTTAAAATGATTGTGGTTTCATTCTCTAAAAAACTGTGTTTCCAGTTTTTTTTGTTTTTGGGTCGAATTTTCATCATTTTAAGCAATGTAACCCCTTTCCAAATTTTCGAAAAATGGGCTTGCAGAAAAGTGACCTAAAACCTGCACTTCTT